ATCTCCGAATTCGACTATTTAGTGTCTGGTTTTGCACCAAACACTTGTGTTTTGCCTTGGAAGGGCAGTGAATGCCTTGTGAGGCATCCCCACACACCACCGGCAGTGGCTAGAGGTCACCGGCTGGTTTTTGCTGCCATCAGCACATTTTGTTGCCGGTCGGCACTATTTGTTGCCGGTCGGCACTCAATTTTGTCAAAATGGCATCTTTGGCCGGCCGACTACTGTGCATCTGTTTTTGCAGATATTTTATCACAGCTGTCTTGCATTTGGCTCCCCTCCATACACGTGTATGGAGGGATCTCCCTCTTTAGAAGCTTGTCTTGTAAGCTTTACAAGACAAGAAGCTCTATAAGAGAGGGTTTTCTCTCTTGTGGCAAGGGTTAGACATTTTAGACATTTAGAGAGAGAGAGAACACAGAGAGAAGCTCTGGTTTTAGGGTTAGGGTTAGATACACACTCTATCTCTTTTACTCTCTTTGTGTTCTAGGTGTTTTAGTCCATACTATTGCACACAAACACCTAGTGTTTCACCTTCCTTGGGCTCCTGAGGTTCTAAGGGGCTGATTTTGGTGTTTTGGTGTTGGATTCAAGCCAAGGAGGGCCATTGGAGCATCATTTGTGAAGGTGGTCTACAAGGGCGAGAAACTTCCCTTTTATTCCCTATTTTTGCATCTTGTTTTTTCCTATCTTTCAATTGTTTTTGTGCTTAGTGTATAATACAAAAAAGTTCTGTTTTTTAGCCCTCTTGATTGTTTATTAAGAGTGTTTTGTGGTTTGAGGGTGTTTGACCCCTCTTAGGCCTTGAAAGGCCTCATTTTGTGCTATTTCGTGCAAGTTTCGAGACTTTGGTGTTTGGGCCTCTTCACCACTGAAATCTTGAGGGATTTCAGTGGTGAAGATGGTGCCTTGAAGTCCTAAGAAGGAGAGGGCCACCCCCTCTCCTTGTTGTCCTTGATATGGACCATTTTTGGCCTCTTGAGGGAGCATTTAGCTAAGCTTCATGTTGACCATGCCTGGGCTGTTTTTTGTGCCTATTATATCATAATATGCCTCTGTTTAGTGTTGGTTTTGGTACACCATGCATGCTTAGCATACCTACCATGTAATGCCATGTTATTGCCTTAATATGCCTTAGGTTGTTAGCCTTTGTTCTAGCATGTTTTAGGCTTAGTCTTGTGAAGGTTTTGTGCTCATTTTTCCATGTTTAAGGTCTGTCCTAGGTTGTTTGGGTCGGATTTGGCATGTTTAATATAGCCCCTTTGCATTCCGGCTTGTTGGCCTTAAGTATGCAAATGTATAGCATGACATTTTTGCATTGATTTGGTGATTTGGAACCATCCACCATGTCATTTCAGTCCCATTTGCATGCCTATATGCTTGCCTTGGACACCTCTTTAATGCTTTGAAAGCTTGTGTAGCATGTTCCATGTTTTGGCCATTGTGCATGCCTTTGATTTTGAGCCGCTTAGATGCCATCTAGGGGGTCCCCTTTGCATGGTCTAGGTCTGCCTTGAACCTATTTTAAGTCCTCTTAGCCTTATGAGGCTTGGTTGGCTTAGCTATGGTTTAAGCCCCTTTGACTTGCTTCAAGTACTTGGACCATTTGCATGCTAATGTTTAGCCTATCTTGTTGCTTGGTTTGACACCATCTTAACATGATTTTCAATGCTTACCTTGCATGCCCTTAGTCCATGTTATACCTCTTTCAAGTGTGCTTGAGAGTTGTTCAATTTGATGCCTAAGTGTTGACCTTTAATCATGTGTATGTATGCATATGTATTTGGTCCCTTATTATAGAACTATGAACACTGTTTTGGGCCTTATTAGAGCTGCCCAAACCATGTATAAGTCCATCTTTTCATCCATTTGCATTGCCTCATGTTTGCTTGTATGCTTGCATAAGTGTCTTGCCATCTCATGTTGCATCCTTAGCTTGTATGTCTAGGTTGCATTGCATCTTGCATGCATGCCTTATTCCTTGACTTGG